TGAGCCACTGCGCCCGGCCTTTTTAAATTTTTTAAACGGAGTCTCACTGTGTCAACCAGGCTGGAGTGCCGTGCAAGCTCGGCTCACTGTAAGCTCCACCTCCTGGGTTCAAGTGATTTTCCTTCCTCAGCCTCCCGAGTAGCCGGGGCTACAGGCATGCACCATCGCACCTGGCTTTTTTTTTTTTTTTTTTTTTTAAATTTTTAGTAGAGACGGGTTTTGAACTCGTCTCTACTAAAGAGTTGATGTTAGTAGAGACGAGTTGTTGGCCAGGCTTGAACTCCTGATCTCAGGTGATCTGCCTGTCTCGACCTCTCAAAGTTCTGGGGTTACAGGCATGAGCCACTGCACCTGGCCTTGTTTTGTTTCTCCCACAGGACTAACAAATGATGACCTACCATTATCTCGTAACTTCTGGTCCTCTAGTACAATGTCCAATGTTTCTATTTACTAATTTTTAAATTTATTCTTTTCTGTAGTTTAAGTTCTCTACAAGGAATACACGCTACTTTTATTATCAGGAAAAAAACTAGTACAATTTAAAAAAACAACTAGCAATGTCATGTTATTCTAAGTTAGCAGAGTCGTTCCCCAGCAAGGCTGGAAATCAGTGTGACTGTGTTTCTTCAGCCTGGAGAGTAGCTGCACCCGTGTTATCTCAGCAAAGGCTCTGGAATCTCATTATCGAATGTTCGCCAAGTGGGCACAGCGTGGAATGTGTTAAAATCAGGACTCTGCTCTTCAGCTTCAGCTGCAGGGAGGGACAAAATGTGGTGAACTCTGCCCCCAGCCCGGTGCTGGCCTCCACTCTGCTGCCTGCTTAGGAGGGAAATGCTCCCTGTTGGGACCAGTTACATGCATTTCTCTCCAAAATCCACAGTAAAACACACCCTTACTCTTGATCACTTAATCCTGTTTTCAATACTTCATTTTAAAGTTTTTCTGGTTGTCAGTTACCTGTGGGTCTCAACGGGACATCCCCCCAAAAACCTGGGACACAAGAAGGCACGTAGGATGCTCTCTGAATGTTAACCTACAAGATTCAACCTAGCGGGTCTCAGCAGATGGGTGCAAAGCCACTGAGACCCACAGCACGACGCCCGGACCTGCGAGACTTGACAGGGGCTGCCTGATGGCAGTGCAGTGCTTTGACAAAGGAGCGTGCTCGGGAGAGGCCAAGGGTGGCATCCTTCATCTCGGGAACCTGCAAGCTTTAACAAAGGAGCATGCTCGGGAGAGGCCGTGGGTGGCATCCTTCATCTCAAGAAGCAAAAAGAACAGAGGACCTGCAAGGTCAACAGCCAAGCTCTCCAGTCTCTATGCGCCAATCTCAATTTTAGCACGAGTGTCTCACAGCCTTAATTTTTAGTGGTGATAATAAAAATCCACGTGAAAATATTGCCATGATGATTAAATGAGACAACATAAACGAACAAGCTTTATAGCTGTGAAGTTAGACAAACGTAGATAATCACTCAGCCACCCTCCCCAGCCACCCTCAGTGATCTGCCCACCCAATCATCACAAAGTTTGCTTCTGATTTGAAAACTTTTCTGAATTCTGGAACAATCAATCCAAAGTCAAGGCCGGGCACAATGGCTCATACCTCTAATCCCAGCACTTTGGGAGACCGAGGTGGGCGTATCCCTTGAGCCCAGGAGTTCAATGCCAGCCTGGGCAACATAGGGAGATCCTGTCTGTACAAAGAACACAAAAATTAGCTGAGTGTGGTGGTGCATGCCTGTAGTCCCAGCTACTCTGGAGGCTGAGGCAGGAGGACCACCTGAGCCCAAGAAGTCGAGGCTGTGAACCATGATTGCTCCACTGCACTCCAGCCAGGGTGACAGAGTGAGACCCTGTCTCAAAAAAATATAAGTATAAATAAAGTCAACAGCCAGACTTGAAACCATACAAGTGGCTGTCAGGAAATGAGCAAGGTCTCAGAGGCTAACATTCAACCGTCACTCAAGCCCCTGAGGGAGTCCACAGAGGACTCAGTCCTGAGGGCGGCCAGTCCCGTGACTGGCAGCACAGGTATGAGTTAGGCAGGGGTAGGTTCGAGCCCCAGCTTAGCAAGTGGCCTCAGGCATTCCTCTAAGCCTCCATTTCTAAACTGTAAAATTGGAACAATATCACAAATTACAAGATGCCAAACTGGTCTGTGAATATGAGCTACTTTAGTAACAATAAATTCCTCTATTAGTAACAAAGTCTGAATGGGATGTTTTTACAGATTGCGGCCGTAAGTCCAGCTGACATCTGCTATGAGGAAACTTTATCAACACTAAGATACGCGGAAAGGTACGTCTGAATATTTATCATCCATGGTGGTTCTATGTTCTAAATCTAGCAAAGTCTTAGTGCTCTTAGACTGCAGGGGTTGGCACTGGGAAGGGGGTCCGGGAGGAGAAGGAAACGACGTGAGAGAGAGGAATGAAAGGAACTAAAACACGAGGGGAAAGAATGGAGACCTGGAGCCTCGGGGCAGGGCTGTGTCGCTTGGGTCCTGGATGGGAGCAGAGCTGGGGGCTCAGGGATGGAGGCGGCGCGGATGCCAGTAGTGACGTGATTGGCCTGATCTGTCCCTGTGTTTTCCTGCCGAATAGCACGGCTGTTTCACAGCTTTCTCCTTCGGTTGCACAGGGCACGGGTAGAGAATGGTGCCAGGCAGGGGATTTTTGTGCTAATGACAAATGAAGATGAGCTCTGTGAGCGACAGCTTCTTGGTCAGAGCCACTCGCGGGGCCGCCCTGCAGCCCCTGCGCAGACCAGCTCTCCACACTGTCAGTTACCGCACTTCCCAGGGCCCACACCACACACTGCAGTCTGGAGGTGGCCTGATGGCCACAGGAGTCACCAGGCGGGGGTCTGTCACTGCCAGGTTCCTTCCCACCCACCTAGCTGGGAGACAGGCCCACTCGGTCAGCACTACGGGAGGCTGCCACCAAGCCGAGTTCCTGCCCCTCGGCCTCTGCAGCTCCTTCCAAGCCTGCTCTCCTGAACCTTCTAAGAAAGAGAGGCGTGGGGAGAGGGGAGTCTGTGACCACGGTAGGACCCTCCCCACATGCTGCCCTGCTCCTCCTCAGGCGAAGGCCAGCCTTGGGAATCTACCAGAACAGCTCCCCACCGAGTCTGGGCAGGAGCTTGGGACTGTCAGACCCGGTTCTGGGCAGCTGGAGTTGGCACGTGAGGTGAAACTGACTTGCCAGCCCTGATATGTCATTCGCCAGGTCTATGGGCTTAGAGGTCAGAGTCTGGCCCTAGCAGCTGTGACCATGGGCAAGAAATAGAACCTCTCCCCCATCCCGTTACCCTGAGCCAGCATTCCTCATTCTCAGCACTGGGGAGAGCTCTGACCGCGGGAGGTAGGTGTGAACTGTGCTCAGCAGAGTTCTGCCTGGTGTGTGAGGGAGGGTGGGGAACTGTGGTCACAACGATGCCACCCAGGAACTGCCTCCCCTTCCGGTCTTTTCTCTGGCCCTCTTCTCAGCACAGGAGCACTTGCATGTTGGTCACAAATGTCTTCCTTCTCATTCTTCACTGCACAGCCTCGGTATTGTCACCACGAGGCATTTTCCTCAGTATTGTCACCACGAGGCATTTTCCTCAGTATTGTCACACCATGAGGCATTTTCCTCAGTATTGTCACACCATGAGGCATTTTCCTCAGTATTGTCACACCATGAGGCATTTTCCTCAGTATTGTCACCACGAGGCATTTTCCTCCAGCATCTGACACAAGCTCAGGTTTTATTTTTATTTTCTGAGATAGGGTGTCACCCTGTCACCCAGCCTGGGGTACAGTAGCACATGGCATCCTCAACCTCCCAGACTCAAGTGATCCTCCCTCCTCGGCCTCCCAAAGTGCTAGGATTACAGGTGTGAGCCACCGTGCCCAGTGCAAGCTCAGAGCTTTAGATCGAATTTTGCCTTAAGCGGTATCCAGAACATTTGTTTTTTCCCTGCTTATCAGGTGCAAATCTGTGGCTCCCAGTCTTTACAGGAGAGACCATGTGATACAGAGGAAAGAGAAAATGGTGCCCACAGCCCGTGGGACTTGTAAACTCTGATTCCATCTCCCCTGTGTAAAATTAAAGGGGTACAGTTACCAGATTTAGCAAATAAAAATACAAGGTGCTCAGTTACATTGAAATTTTGGAGAACAAGGAATGTTTTACTGTATATCCCATGCAGTATTTGGGGGTATCTGTTTTCTCTGACAACACTGGAAGGAGTGACCTGAAACACCTCCCAGGCGCCTCCCAGCCTGGCGCACGCGCAGAGCGGTCCCGACAGCCTCCAGGCCAGGAGTTATTTCAGCAGCAACAGGGATTGAGCAGGTTCTTAGGTTAACCAAGTCAGCCCAATTGGCTGAGTGTGTTCAGGTCCCAGGACATGTCAGGGGCTGAGGCCCAGCCTGGCTGAGCTGCTCGTGTTTATTTGAACTGTGCAGGTGCTTCAATCACTTTGGTCTTAATGGTTGAATGGAACCAGACCCTGTGTGGAATCTCAAGTCATCTGGGGCAGGGGGCCTGGGGGTGCTGCTCAGGCAAGGGGCTCCAGGCCTAAGAGCGTGTCCATGTTTGCACATGAAAGGGCTAAAAAGATCCGGAACAAAGCAGTGGTCAACACCTGGACACTGATGAGAGAGTCAAGGGCGGAGAACAGCAAGCTGCTGCCCAGATGTAGACACTCCATAATGTCAGGTAAACCGAGTCAGGGGCCAATGCCCTGAGCAATGGGGGGGTCTGAGCTGGGCTAAGCCTGGGGCCGGGGGTGGAGGGAGCACCTGGATTCGAATCTGAGGGAGTGGTTGGGGCACAGTGGGGGGCATAGTGGGGGGCACTGGGGCTTTGTCCGGGATATTGTGATTCCATCCTTTAAAAAAAAAACTGAGATAAATGTAGACTCATTTGCAGTTGTGAGAAATAATAGCCCTGAATTTTAAGATGGTCATCTTACTCTCATTTTTATTGACATTTTATTTGGTATTTGAGACAGGGTCCGCTCTGTCACCCGGGCTCGAGTGCAGAGGTGTGATCACTTAGGACAACCTTACATCTCCTGGGCTCAAGCAATCCTCCTGCCTCGGCTTTGCAAAGTGTTGGGGTTACAGGCGTGAGCCACCGCGACCAGCCTCATTTTTATTTCGAGGTCATTGTTTCTCCCAGGATGTTTTTCCTTACCGGATTTGGACAGTGGCCACCTGATGTCTGCCCACTGAGGGCTTCCTGCGGAGAGATGATGCCAGAAGCCCATTGAGGGTTGGCCACCTCCTCCAAGACGGAGCTCCATCCTGGCTGTGCATCACAGCCACTCGGTGACAGGGCTCCCCCCAACCTCATAAACCGGAGTCCCGGGCAGCTGTCAGCCCTAAATCCCCCAACCTCATAAACCAGAACCCGGGCAGCGGTCAGCGCTAAATCCGCCCAACCTCACAAACCAGAATTCCGGGCAGCTGTCAGCGCTAAAGCGTCCCAGGTGATTCCAACATGCGCAATTATCCAGAGCCCCCGTGACAGGTGAAGGCCTTCAATCGCAGTTTGGCAGCATAAAGATATATATCGTTTTATGCTCATTAATGATTTAAAGTGAGATGGACAAAAAGGTAAAACTACTGGGTGAAATTGGCACGAGCATCCGGTATCAAAGCAACAATATCAAACGGGCTCCCTCCCTCCTGGGGGCCCTCGGGTAGTGGCGGGACCTCCTGCAGCCCTTGCCCTACCGGTCATGCCAGGCTACCCAAAGGACGTGTGGCTCAGACAGAGGGTGGGCCAGCCCCGAGCCCCACCTGGCCCTTCCCAGGCACACGACCCAACTCACTGAGGCTTCACTCTCAACAAAGCGCTCCCTAAATCAGAATCAGTGCGCACGTGTGTGGCTGGCCTGGGCCTGGCTCTGCCTGTCGCAAATCTCTGTACCATCCAAACCTGACATGCCAGATGTGGACCTACACGTAGCACGTAACCCGTAACCCCCACGGCTCTCCAGCAAAGACACGGACTATGTGGAAAACAGTGTAATCCTATGATTCTTCCCGAATCCCCCGACCCCATGGGAGTTCCCCGTAGCAAGAAATCACGTGAAATGCCCTCACAAGCCCGAGCAAGTACAAAAATAAGAGAGCACTGAACTCCTGCCTCCCCCTTAAAGGACCTTCTTGCCCTAACGTCTTACGAATTAGGAGGATAATTAGTCTTCTTTGTAGGACTTACCAAAAGATCTCGTCTTCACGCATAAGTGTGGTGCATTCCTGCTGCTGCCGGGATCCCGGGCTTTGAGAAACGAGCGGAGACTCCCTGGTTATCCCGCGCCTCCCTTTGGCACTGCAGACCCCCTGCTTAAAAAGCCTCCCTCCTTCCAGAGCCGTCAGCCTGTCTCCGGGCAGAGCCGCAGCTGGGGACTCCTGCTGATCAGGCGACCTGGGCACACCTGCTGGAGCAGGCCCAGGTGAGCTTCACTCCCGGCACCTGCGGAGGCTGAGTGAGCCCAGGGAAGGGGGCCAGGCCCAATTGTGTCAAGGCTTTTTCGATGAATGTGTAACGTGTGACTGGTAATGATGCTACTGGCAGAGCTAGGGAGAGAACATCAACGCATGCAAGTGAGGGAAGCAGGGTGGCCTCGGTGCCTGGCGGGGCGTGAGGCCGGGTATCGATCCTGGCATTTGCTGATATCACACCCTAAATGGGCTATGATGTGAATTTCGGCCTCCCCTCGCCACTCCGGCTTCCAACCACCCCACTTCCTGTGGCCACAAGGCCCTGGGAAAATCCCGAAGTCGAGAATCAGACCTGGAGTACTTGGGGACTGGAGCTGGGGATTCAGGAAGCTCACACTGCCTAACCACGGCCTCAGGGCCTGGGGGTGGAGCAGGGTGGGGTCTGTGGCATCAGGAAGCCGGACGGTTAGGGCCGTGCTGAGTCACGTTCTGTGTAAGTGGTGGCTGGGACTCTCAGCATCAACGGTCAAGTAGGGTCACATGGAGGAATACGGGATTTGGGGTTCTGCATATACAGTAAAACTGGAAGGATTTTTGCTCTGTTTACGCTTTGTCAGAGAGGATTTCAAGCTGTAAAAGTCTTCCTCATGCCTGCATAATCATCCCCGTTTTGTTTACTGTTAAATCCCTACCCACCATACCCATCCATCCTTGTGTGGATGAACGACATGTGTTCAGGTTCCCAGGCCAGGGTTCGTGCCATACCCCACTTTTTGCCATCAACATCTGATTCTCAACCAGCCAGCAGCACTTCGGGAGAATGAGAGGCTGCATGGAGACCTGGGGAGGGGCTGCCCAGGCGGGGGACGCAGACAGCTGGGGAGGGCAGCGGGGAGAACGGCTTCTTGGAACTGTCCCATTCAGATGTACTTGGACTCCTGACCGCTGGCCCGCCTGAGACTCCACCCCGCCATCAACACTGCCCCAGCCCCTCTCAGCTTTTCTCCCTCCCCAGGCGGGCTGACCAGGTGGATGGAGACGGGAAAGAAGTGTTGCTCTGCCCAGTGGGCAGGTGCGGACTGGTGATGCCCACCCTCTCCACTTCTCCTGCAGGAGCGGCAGATGATGACCTTCCCTCACCTTCTTAATGTCACCGAGGACCCACAGCTCACTGGGGTCCTCAAGTACTTCATTCAACCTGGTACTCCGCCAGCCCCCTGTCCCTGCCCTGCCCTGCCCTCTCCCCA